AATTTAAGTAATTTTATAACTTATTAGGGTTAGAGTTAAGGTTAGAATTTAAATTGGCTCAAATTAGTTAGATTTTATATATTATAATCTTGTGATAATTTATATATGTCTATCTATACTAAAGAAGATCTGAAAATTCATAGTATAGAATATATTGGATCTTTTTTAGTATAGGTGAGCATATATAAATTATTACAAGATTATAATATATAAAACCTAACTAATTCGAGCCAATTTAAATTCTAACCTTAACTCTAACCTTAATAATTTATAAAATTACTTAAATTAGTTCAAAATAGTTAATTTATATATATGATAATTGTATAATAATTATATATACCTATCTATACTAAAAATCAACCGATATATTTATACAAACTTTTACAGTAGTAATATTTTACAAAATGAAGATATCAGTAAAAATATGCAATCTTATATCTCAGATCTAGAATTGTCTAAAAAATCTAATAAAAACAGTTCAGAAGATGATATTTATAATATTATACTTTATATAGTACTAGAAGTTTTATTGGGTTAAAAGCTTACACAAACTACTGATATTTATAGTTTCAGAGTCATCATAGCAGAAATATTAATTAGTCAAAGACTTTTTGATAAAAATGAATTTGATAAAAACTTGCAATAAAGATTTGCAATAGATTGTGCCCTGAATTTGTCTCTAAAATTTCTAATTGCTATGTTGAATTTGTGAAGCAATGTATAGACTCAAATCCAAAAAAACAGTCTGATACTAGAAAACTTGAAGTATAGATTAAGATTATGCAAAGTTTAGATGAAGTAAATAAAATTCTTAGAAGCAGATAATATATATGCCGAACCTGAATATGTTTGTAAACTTCAAATCAAACTCTAAACTAAACTTCAATCATATTTAAGTTTGGTTCTAGTTCAAAGATCTGCAAAATTTTTTGTTTAGATTTGGGTTCAGTTCAGATTTAGCCTGAACCAAGTTTGGGCTAAACTGAATATCAGAATACTACTTTTATATAGGTATAACCAAAGCTTTAACTTGGTGCTTTTAGATATACTAGATTAGCAAGCCTGTTTCTATAAAATATTTTTTTTAGTTAGTTGTTTTATAGTACTAGAGGTGTTTTAATTTAGATAAGGCTAATTCTTTACTATAGCTTTTCAAATATCTATCGCTTCTCTTGCTATTTTAGTTTTAGTAATATTGTATTATCCTTTTAAGCAAGTACTCAACACCAATTCAAATTAAAACTAATATGTATAATCTATTGATTATTCTTTTAAGCAAGTACTTCACCAGTTAAATATAGTGATGTTGGTACTATCTAAAGTAGAAATGAAGAGATGTTGATATTACCTCTAGATCATTCAACCAGAAAATTTATTTGCGTAATTTTTTACAAACTAGAACTTCTGTAATATTGTTATACATAGTGATAATACTTCATAATTAGAGCTCTTTTTAGAAATTCCTATTTTAGAACTGTACTTGTACTTAGATTTTTACAAGGCTTCATATTTAAAATAATGCTTTTGCTATCTGGCTCACAGAGAATTAAAAATTACAGATTTTATATCTTCAAGTAGATTTAAACTGTTGATCTTGTTTGTGGGAGTTTAGAAACTTAATTAATAAGCTATGGGCCCAAACTTTTATAGTTTTTATAACAAATATAATTTTTAAACTTGCTAATATAACTTTTATTAAGATAGCTAACTTTTAAATATTTCAAGATAAAATATAAATAGAAGACTATATATTAGATAAATTTAATTTAATAGATACTCTATCTGTTATCTGCAAATTTTTATAAATAAATTTTACTATTAAACCAAATATAGAGTGCTTTAATCTAATTTTTTTTTACTAAGTAAAATACTTTTAGGCTTCTAATAAAAGTTGTAGAGCTTATCAAGATGCATCTAATGATATTAAAAATATTAAAATTGGGCTAGTAGTTCTTGGGAAATCTTTAAAATTTCTTTTAAAAAAATTAATTTTTTTTAAAGAAATTTTATATATTAATAAAATATTTTTTAAAGATTTTTCAAGAACTATAAGATCAATTTTAATTTTCTTATTATTATTAAATACATCTTAATAAGCTCTACAATTTTTGTTAGAAGCTCAAAAGTAATTTATTTAGTAAAAAAAGTTTTTAATTGGAGTGCTTTATATTTGGCTTAATAGTAAAATTTGTTTATAAAAATTTACAGATCCTCTTCAGATAGCAAATAAATTATCTATTAAAGTTAATAATAATTTTTTTACAATTTAACTTTTAAAACTATACTAAATTTAGTACAGCAAATAGATACCTATTAAATATTTTAATCTTTAAAAAATTTATTGTTTATTTAATTTCTTTTGTCTAGCTTTTAAGAATAATTATATAATTAGCTCAAATTATTTATTTATTTTATTTTCTGTTATATTTTCTTTTTTTTATTATACATAAAAGATTTTTAAAAATAATTATTATACTTGTAGATTTCTAAAAATTTGCTATAAAAAAACTAGATTTACTAATTTTTTCCACCACTTCTGATTGGCTATACTAATTATTCAATTATTGAAGTGTTTATATTAGTAATCAAAAAAATTTTTAAATAAAAATTTGTGCTGTTAGACTAAAATTAATATATTATAATTATAAGATGTTTCTTATATCAAAATTTTATAAGGAAATTTTTTTATTAGTGTATAGAAGACAGTTTCATATATTGAATTTAGAGTTATGAGTGAATTTTAATTTTTGTGTTTTTTTTTGTGTTTCTTTTATATTACACCTGATCGTGAAATTGGATTGGCTCCAATAAATGAATAATTAATACAGCCAATTAGAAGTAGTGGGAGAAATTAGGGCACTCTAAAAAACCAAGATAAATTTAATTATATTTTTATCAATTATTTAATTTTTTAATCAATTATTATAATATGCATCTATAATGTTTTGTATTTATTATATGTTTTTATTAATTTTTTCAAGTTTTTATATAAAATTTTTAATATATTAAGATTGCAATTATAATTAGAGTTTGAAAAAGATTTTTAAAAGCATCAAATATTTTTACTTAGAAGATCTTATACTAATTAATTAGTTAATTTTTAAGATAATATATATATTGTATAACAAAAGTTTCTTTACACCTATATTTCTTCATTGAAAGGTACTATGATCTTGAAACTTTCAACAAAGTTAGTACATAATATAGATTAGATCGTGTTTTTTTTTGAAGATTTTTTAATCACTAGAAAAATGTTTAAATAAGAGCCAAATTTGATAAATTTTTTTTAAAAATAAAAAAAATAATTAAATTCAAAGAAAATCAATATATTATCAAAGCTTAAAACTAAAAATTCTAAAAAATTAGTATATTAAAATTCAATAATTTCTGTAGTAGTGATAAAAAATTTAGCTTGATTTGATGATATAATTGTTGAGAAATTAATTTTAATATTTTGAATTTTATTTTTAAAAATTACAAAGTAAAAACTTTTTTAATTAAAATTATCTCAATATCTAGCAATCTAAATTTAATGATTTTGATATTATTTGGATCATCTTGATAAGACAATTCGAATAATATCAACATCATCAAATTTGGACAATTAGAATATAAAATATTTGTAAAAAACATATTGCAATACAAAAAAAATTAGGTATTAACAAATCAAACATAATGAAAATAAAACTCAAAACTTAAAAATTAATTTCTTAATAACTATTTTCATTAAACTAAGTCAAATTTTTGTAACTACTACAAAAATTATTGAATTTAATATACAAATTTTTTTAGAAAATTTAACTTTAAGCCTTGATGATATATTAATTGTTCTTTGAATTCAATTAATTTGTTTACTTTTTTGAATGAAAAATGTTCTAAATTTAGCTCTCATCTAAACTTTTTTCTAGTGATTAAAAAATCTTCAAAACAAATACATAACCTAATCTATGTATATACTAACTTTTTGAAAAGTTTCAAGATCATAACACCTCTCTATGAGGAAATATAGATGCGGGAAAAATTTTGTTGGGCACTGTACATAGGTGTAAAATGCCATAGATGTGTTTTAGCTTTAATTATAATTACATATTCTTAAATTGCTAAGAACAATCAAAAACTATGTTTGAAATAATAAGTTACTATTTTTTAATAAAATTTTATATACTGTATATATATTTAGATAGGGGTGTTAAGTTATAGTTTGAGCCAAAACTAGTTGAACTAGCTGGTTTATCACATCTGTTGAAAGTTTGTAACTGTTACATAATTTATATAGTTAATCAAAATACTGTCGTTTATTATCACGTATAAAAGGATCTTTAAATCAAAATTCGTGCGGATTAATTTAATAATTTCAATTAACTAATTACTTTAACAATTTATAGATTGGAAGGTATTCTTTCGATTTTTTTTTGGCACAGTCGGACCTCCCTAAATGCAACCTCCCTAAATGCATAGACTCTCTAAATGCATAGCTCTGCCTTGGCCTTAATACATATGATACTTATAGATTTTTACCTCCCTAAATGCAAAACCTCTCTAAATGCAAGATTTTTTTATCGACCCAAGGCTATGCGGTTGACTATATCAAGCTTCACCAATTCATATCCGTGGCCACCAATAGTTTCAATTAAACAGTTTATGTAAATTTATAAACAATTTTATGCAACTAGTTAAATCAGTTTATGCAGTTAACTAACCAGTTTGTAACTGATATAGTTAATTTTTTTAACGAGTTAATTTCCCTACATTCAGATTCAAATTATCGTTAACTTTCTAACGAACTGATTGTTCTTGAAGAAAAAGGGACCACAAGGGCCACATATTGAACCATTATAACATTCAAAAAATTTTGTAATTTTTCATAATGACGTTCATTCTATCGCTATAAAATAGATATTGACGTACCGTACCACATCTGATATTTAATATATATAGTAAGCCGTGTAACATATGATCTATAACGATAATTTTTTTTGATTCGAGCTAATCCAAGTGCAATGTCTTTTCGATATTTTGTCCGCCGTTGCCATTATCAATATCGCGGGTTCCATGGCACGAATAGAACCCTTTTTGGCTTAGATAATATGAAAATTGATCCGAATGATCCATTTATCACCAAAATTCGTTCAAATCCAAGAATTCTCTCATCTATTCAAGAATTGGTTCAACTTTTGCAAAGCAAAGGTGTCGATCTTAATAGTGGTCAGACGCCATCGATGATACAAATGGCCAGGCTTGCGAGTGATAAAGAAGTGTCAGCAAAATTGGTTATCATTGACTCGCAACTTCGTGAAGCTGGTATCGCGCTTGACGGAGAAACTGCACGGAGGTTCATGAACTTATCGAAAACAAATCCTAAGCAAAGCAATAACTTATCGGGAGCAAATTTAAAACAAAGCAATAACTTACCGGGAGCAAATTTAAAACAAAACAATAACTTACCGAAAACAAATTTAAAACAAAGCAATAACTTATTGGAAACATCAAAGCAAAGCAATCCAAATATTGTAACATCTAGGTCTCAAGAAACGACTGGATTTGTAGAGAAGATCAAACATTGGTTTGGGATAAAAAAATGATAGGAATCATTTTATCCCTTAGATCGTTTTCCAGGTAAAGTCCTGACTTTTGAATTTTATTCAAATGCGTAAATGGATCAAGTATAGTATAGATGACCCATCGGCAAAGCTTCCAGAAACGCCATCATTAGATTTATCATATAATTGAAAAAATACAGCTTGCTACAATATACGTTACCGTAAAATCTTTAAATAAGTGAGCGTGGGCATTATTTTGAGTTACGGCCTGAAGTAAACTTAATTTAGCCACAACTCAAAATAATGCCATGCCCGTTATTTCGAGATATTACAGTACACATCATTTTTCAATTAATGTTAATTATTAATTAATGTGTTATTCGTAGATTCGAAAATGTACATCGTTTTGCAATCGAAACCCATCTATATTGATGTTTTTAGTGATTTTAATTTGATTAAAATTTATAATTTTTTCAAAAAATATGAGTTGACCAATATTAAACATTAATAAATTGAAAATATTATGAATTGATCATTTTCTAATATATACAGAGATGATTTTTTTGCATTCACAGATGACTGTGTATGATTCTGGCCAAATCACAGACTTTATTCCTTATCGTGGACGGAATTGGCATTTGCCATCACATAAAATCATCCCTCAATATACACTGGCGATCATAAATAATGCAGCAAAAAAAAAAAAATCGTTAGATCGTATTATCTCACGCAATTCGGGAC